ATAAAGTATAATTGAGTGCAATTTAATCATAAAGAGAAAATATTCTACGGAATTACTTCACTTCGTAGACTTTTTGCTAAGCTTCACCATATTTCTTAAAGAGAATCGCAACGCTGATTCCATTTCATAGACCTTTATGTATCCTACACTGAATTATATTTAGAAAATTATTTCACTTGGTTATAGCTGAAAATGCAGTTTTTTTATTGAAGAATTTAAGGGTAAGAAGAGAATTATGTCCTTTTCTAATTATTCTTGAAGCATTTAATTTTTTTTAAAAAAAGCGCACATTAATACGGATCACTGAACTAAAGTGCTCGATATAGGACAGATTAATTAGCTACTAAATTTTGATTTTCGTTGAGTAAAAATGAATTCATCTGCATTCTATAAAAAAGCAAATATTCAAGAAATGTTTTTTTTTTTTTTTTTTGATTCTCGCAGCTATAATATTTTTCTTAAGTATTCAGCTAATTCATATGCAAATATTCCAATCCATTACAATAAGTAATAAATCGATACAGTAAATAAATAATTAAAATCAATTAATGGAATTTTTAATTGATTTAATTGCCATTTTCCCTCTGATAAACCCCTCTTTAGAGTTCAATAGCAGTCGATCAGCTTTTGTTGGGGGTTCATTTTTCTTTATGGTATGCTTACGTTATATATGTATGTATTATGCATTGCTCATACTCGTCAATTGCAGCTTTTAATATTTTTTGGAAAAAGTCAATATGAGAATCCAGAAAAGGATTCTTAGCGATGCTAAAACTATTATTACTAGGCACACTCATAAAAAAAATTGCATTGTTTAAAGGTAGATTCTATGCTCATATTTTAGTCTAAAATTAAAAGCTGAAAGTCAAAATTAAGGGGGTTGCTCTTAGAAAGCCTCAATTAGAAGTAGTTATAGGAAATGTTAATCAATACTTATAATCTTACGGATTTGCATTGTTTAAAGGTAGATTCTATGATCATATTTTAGTCTAAAATTAAAAGCTGAAAGTCAAAATTAAGGGGGTTGCTCTTAGAAAGCCTCAATTAGAAGTAGTTATAGGAAATGTTAATCAATACTTATCTTACGAATTAAACACTTATTCCCTATTTGATCATTTGTATGGCAAACAGATATTCGTCATTCATAAAGAAAAGAAAGATGAATCAAAATGAGTTATATTCTTGTTTTTTCAACTGCAAAAACATCTTAAGATACTATCGGATTTAATTTTTAAATTATTCCAGTAATAATCAGAACAATGGGGGCCATTATTCTTAATTATAATTTACTAATGCAAATCCTATTTTGGTTTCAAATGGCTTTCATTAATTACGTTAATGATATACTGATACTGAATGAGACCTAAAAACACTTTTTCTTTAAATATATCTCCTCTTATGATCCGCGACACAGCCGTTTACTTTCCCCTTCCGTAATTAACGTCAGTCTCCTGCTGTTGACGCATTTGCCAAGCCACCATTTTTTTATTTATTTTATTTCACTTATTTATTTATTTATTTTAATGCCTTATTTTGTCACATACTTGGCCAGTCTAGAGGTTTAGCAAATAAGAGGGAGATTTTATGTCAAACGGCATAGGTTAAAATGAGAAGTGAAATCATAATCAACATGATTCATAACAAAAGACTGAATGTTGTCCCTGCTGTTGCTTGTCTATAGAGAGACCTGCTGATTAGAACAAACCTGAAAGGCCTGATGTAGGCACGGTTGGCAAGTGTTGAAAGTTAGTCAAGCTCTGCTTAATGCAGTTAATGTCATAGCTTTGTGTAGAGTTCCAGGGTTGTAACCCAGTTAATATACTTTAAGGTTCCAATAAAGCCATTAAAGCGGCCAGAGGTGATAAAATGTTTTGTATTTTTTATATAAGTCTCAGTAGATGGCAAAGAATAAGTTTTACTTGATGGTGTTGATGGTTACTTGATGGGTGTTGGATGATGTGCTAATCTGAGACAATTACATGGGAAAAACGCTTACTATGAAAAAAATTAAAAGCAAGACATTTTAATTAATTACATAGCTAATTTTGCTTTACTAAGAGCTGTTTTGTAAATTATGCTTTATAGCTATATACCTTGTTTATTTTTCAGATTTAAAATATTGTATAATAAGTTGCCAAAATGAAACTTTATAATATGACAGCGAAAATAAAATGTTTTATTTTAATGTTATTTTTTAAATATAATTCTAATATATTACCATTATTTTAATGAAATTTATCAATGTTATGATGTTTTAAAAAAATCGCTGAAAAATTTTCAGATCTCGGAATTAAAAATTTTCTATAGAAACTGATCTTAGAATCGCCAAAATGTTGACAAGTTGTCAAATGTAGAACCATTTAGTAAAAGAATTCACAACCCCCAAGGCGAAAAGTTGTTTAAGAGCTCTTTATTAGAAAAAATGAATTTCGAAATGCTTATGTTTCACTTCTTGCTTAGAAACTCGAGTATCCAATCATTTATATTAGAAACAGAAACAAAGTATAACCCATGAAACCATTCAAAAGATAACCATATACGTCAGTGAATTGCCAAAAATATTCCTCCAAAATGCTAATTCACACTCAAAATGGCAGTCGTAAAAACAGAGAGAATTTTCAGATGATTAAAATTAACGACCTTCTACTGATTTTGGCCAAAATTAAAGACTTTTAAGGACCAAAACTCGACTTCAAAAACTTTAAGGACTCTTAAGGACCGTACGAACCCTGTTAGCGCAGTTGGAGTCCACCCCAACCATTGTACTGGTATAATCAGAATTGAGAACCATCTAAAATGTGTTTTCATTTGTCCATATTCAGCCTTCATTATGCCACATGTAGCCATGTATGTCTATGGAGCAGAACCAATAATCGGTGCAACGGATGTCTCGAAAGATCTTTCTTCTGTGCCGATAACACTCGGTGGTACGTATCGACACACAGAATGATGTGCAACAGGCCATCATTCTTGTGCTAGGGCTGTTGACGGCTGATATATATATTGTATGTATAAATAAACTTTAGGCCTTTAAAAATATAAAGTATTGGAAAGGAACAAAGTTTTAAATATTTTCACATCTGTGTTCAGAAATCAAATACTGGGTCTTGCACTTTTATTGCAAAATAATATGTTGCACGTTTTTCATAATTCTAAAGAAGGGATGCTAAGTTTTCTACTATGGTGTGGTGTATTTAATTACGGCAAAGCACACGAGGGCTATCTGCCTAAAGGGAGGGATGCCTTTCGTGGAGGACTTTCTAAGGGAAACTGGCTCGTATACACGTTACACATGGGGAAAACCACGAAAACGCCCATGCAGCCAGCCCGTTCGCGGGATTCGAACCTCAGACCGAACTACCAGTGTTCAGCGTCTTTACCGCTCGGCCGCTGGTGGGCAGTTTTCTACTATGATTAACAGAACAAATGTCAAAAGAGAAGATTTTTCAAACAATGGAAAAGGATTCAGTTATCTAATTCTACATTTATACACTTATTTACTTAATTGATAAACAGTTTAATTGAATTAAGTTTTCTCTTTTTAATTCAATTAAAATTTGTAATCAGTAAGAAATCAAGATTCTGATTTAAAATATATAAGCTTACATTTTAGTTATTCATAATAAACTGAAATCATAAAAATTACATATATGAAAACTGAAATTTTTGCTTAAGTATTTTTTATTTGAAAAATCTTGAATTTTTAATTCATGAAGTATGTTATATAATTTAACTGTGTGGTATCTACTATCTCCATTATTAAATAATAGAAAATATGTATGTAATGCATGCACATACACATGCATGTATGTATATTTGTGTGTTCCTTACATTGCGGAAAAATGGTGACTTCTAGAGCCACCAAATTTTAAACATATGTAGTCAGTCCTCCACACAAACATGCCCTCTTAGAAGCCAACATTTTGAATTTGTGTTTACTTATTTCATATTATGTGCAAATTAAGTGAGTTATTTATCGACAGAATCAGCGATTTTTAAAGTGTTTAAAATTTTTGTACTTGTGCTGCTATGCGCTAGCATATCGTCTGCGAGACTATATGTGCAGTTGCAAAGCGTTACTATGGTTACCCTTTTTTTTTTCTTTACCATTGTTATTGTTAAAAATAAATAAAAATGTGTTGTCCTAATAAGCAATTAAAACAAAACTTCAATTCCGCTCTTCGGCAAATCTGTCTTTTTGGGGTCTTCCGCCAAAGCTATAAATATTCAACTTTTCTAAACCAACAATTTCTGCCTTTACACATTGCAACAAAATTCCTCTTCTGTCATTCAGCATATTATTCGATGAAGCAGTAACTGAATTTTTTGAGTCCGAATCAACCAAAATTTGAGAAAAAGTCGTCAGATTTTATTTCTTGTTTATTAATTTAAGCTCTGCCGCTCTGGCATAAAGTAGTAATGAGACATAAAAGGACGCGAACGCAGTATCCAGCATGGTTGTGTGCACACGCAAGCATCCGCACATGATACTGGAGTGAAGTAGGCAGTTGAGTGTCCCACCCAATTGATGCGGCAGTGCATGCGATGACATCATGGCGGTCACAATGTAAAATTCGACTAATTTTGTCATCACACGCATCGCCGCATCAATTGGTCGGAACACACAACTGCCTACTTCACTCCGTCGTGTGCGTGCGCACACAACCACGTCGGGTACTGCATTCGTGCCCTTAGATGCCTCGCCACGTTATGCCAGAGCGGCATATTCAAATTTCAACCGGTTTAGTTGTTATAATGTTTCGTACTTTTTCATTTGAACACCCCTGACATATTTAAAGAATAAATAGTAAGTAGAGTGTTATTTTCCGGCCAAAATGAATCTACACATAATAAAACGATCTACAGATACTCGATGTCTCGCATCATGTGATCATCAAAGCAAAAATAATTCACTTATCCTGTAAGAATCAAATTTAACGTATTTATAGCCTTTACTTTCAGTATGATATGTATGTGTTTAAAAAAAAATGAAGTCTGGATGAAAAAACATTAAAATTTTATTGCACTCTACGAAAGGTAATTAAGTGGTTCGGTACATAGTCATGTAGAGATTTTACATTTTTACATTCGAGTGTGGGGTTAAATCTGTGTTTTCAACAAGAAAAACATACTACAGTTTACAAACTAAAGTTGAGAACATATCATTTCATATACAAATTTCTTGTAATTCTACATAACTTTGAAGTTTACTACTGCACTGATTACAAACTTAACAAAAGTTTTCTTTTGTCTAATAATTTATGATAAAAATGCTGAGAGAAGTTCCTGGAAATTAATTCATTTGGGTGTTATACATCGTAAATATAATGGAATACTTTTTTTCTAAAAATAAAATGCAGATTGTATTTCTTTCTGTCGTGTAATTACTGAATTTAAATTATAAAAACTGAAGACAATTCTTAACAAGTCCTTTTTTCTTCCATTTACATTTGCAACTGAACGTAATAGAATTTTTAAAACATAACTAAAAAACATTCAGATAAATAACATGTTTCATTTATGACATTAAACATGAGATAACTTTTCTTTTATATAATTTATACGAGTTAAATTTTATTTGATAACAATGATTAAAATATTTGAATTCTGTAATAATGTATTCTAGCACCGAACCCTAGTACATTTCTCTCAGGTCTTCGAATTCTAATTTCATTTAAATAACATCTAGGATAACAGTATAAATACATCACAAATTACCCTAACAGCAATAGAAGTGCTCAAGTGGTTAAAAATTTACAGTCAACTTTCTATAGAAATTTATTGTAATTTAACTCCTTCAATGGCTTTTAAGTAACTTTCATTGTCTCCACTTATAAAATTGAGTAAAATACTTAGAAAGCAGTCTCATTTCTTTCAAATATACTAATTCTGAAGATAAAAGTGGTATATATATCTATATATTCATTTAACTTGCGAATATATGAAAGTTTTTCCTTTTTAAATCACAGGTAGCTTTCAATGAAACTCAAGTGTAGCAGAATACTGTTTTACTAAATAAAATTGAGTAATTCGATATATTCACGAGTTTTACATAATTTTATTCATAAAACTAATAATTAAAATTATTATTTTTTAACATAATATTTAGCGTGTTGTCGTTAACTTATTTTCTTAACTTGACAGAAAAGAACACATAAAATAAAAACATGACTGCACAGTAGTCTTGATTTTATGATTGTTTATGATGCTATAAGTGATAAAATGTTACATTACATTTATTGTTCCTAGTCTCTGTAATGTTTTCGAATATATGTATCCGAAATTTTCTAATTTTAACATAAATATATCTAGCATATGATGTTTATGAAATGTTTAAATATTAACTGAATATGAAAGATGTAAAAACTTGCTTCCATTTTTTTCATTAGAATACGAAATAATTGTTTTTAATTTTATGCTCATAACATCAATTTACATATTATTTGACTCTTTAAATTTCTGCAATTTATCAGAAATGTTATCTTTTAGAGCTGTTATATTAATGCAGTTACTGACTCCATGGGGACATTTTTTACTTTGTCATACTACACATAACTGCTCTTAACTTAGAAGCTGCAATTTGCACCTATTAGCTGCCTTTGTATTGCATATGTGTAAAGCTGACATTTCAGAGTTTGCATTTATTGGCACTGAATTCATTTCTGAAAATATAAATTTCTCGTAATTAGCCATTATGGTTTATGCTATGCATAAATGTTCTGAAAGGTCAGCCGTGAGCACATTTTATCCTATCTGATCTATGCATTCATTTTTATTAAAATACTATTAATAATAAAGAAATTTTAATTTTGTTTAACCATGAAATGAGCACTCAATTTACTTAAAACATCAGGAAATATCACCTTAAGTTTAAACATAAGCAAAAAAAATGTATTTGTTTACGTAAAAATAGGTGCGAGATGATGTAAAACGTTCTTAATTTAAAACTATCTTTCAGAATATATTCATTACAATATTGCTGTAATTACAAAGCACAAATTACATTTTGAGACATTAACCGAGTCACCGAGACAAAAATATTGAAACTTTTTCATGAAGTGATTTTACATTTGCGATACAAATAAATTCTTTTGAACTGTAGATCTAGTATAATAAGTAAACAACTATATTATTACATTAAATTTCAGTATTTTGACTTTTAATTATCTAACCATTTATGCATATAAAAAAGAAGTATAAGTTTTTTTGTGGATATTTTAGCTTTTAATTCATCTGTTACTAAATTTTCAGTTTTAGTAAGTAGTTGATTATCTTGGAAAGAGTATACCAGATTTTAAAGCAACAGCTGCATTGTTCAGTAATAATATAAACATGTATACTGACTAGTCTGGGTAAAAATTTCAGATACTTTGCTGTTGTATATTTTGGGTTCACAAACTATCTTTGGCACCAGTACTTTTACTAAGATCAAAATCTCTTCACTTTAAACAGAATATAAAAACAGTTTAAAAAAAGTTTCAATGTAAAAGAATATTTTTTTTTTTATATTAGTTTGCAGGAAATAATAAATAAGTGCATTGTTTTTCTTTTACTCAACAACTATATAGTGGTATATAACTTTGAGAATGTAGAAATAACAAAGCACATAATGTAAACAAATTAGCTCTTATAAAACTAAACAGCATTTATAAGAAACCACCAAAGTTAGTTAAGTATTCGTTATATCAATAATATGTAAACATTCATCGTTAAAAGAAATAATGAATTTGCTTGGATTACCATAAAATGCCTATAACTGTATTCCTTTCTCACAAACTGAGCATATATCATTCATTATCAAAACTGTAAATTGTAATACTATTAATAACAACAACATTAAATTTGCTCGCCTTACAATATTAGGAGTTGAACAAATATATTTTGAAGTATACACGTAACAACAATCCTTATTTTATTCTAAAATATATGAGAAATTAACACACAAAAGGGAAAGCTGTGTGAAAATGTAACTGGACTAGCATAAAGTGTACAAACAACATCTTAATTTAAAACACAGGTATATATTGGCAGGTCGAATGACTAGATCAATGAAACGTAACACTGACTCGTGTACAAACAATAAGTCCACGGACTAGGTAACATAAAATAACAAATAACAGATAAGTGTATAAAAAGCTGGTTGCGGGCATCTAATTCGTATCTACGAATAATACATATGTACAAGTGAGACGAAAGAACGTACACGGAAAGTCTTCGAAAGCTAGTTTGACGATACACGTGATTAAGATAAACTTGAATTATTCAGATTAAGATATGAAAAGAAAATTATCCGGACACAACCATGAAAATTTCAAATAAAAATTACTTACTTGAAACAAATTTTTTTAAAATTAATTTCATCTGGGATAACAGGTAGACACAATTTGAAATAAAAATCACTGGACTAAATGAGGCTGTTTCTGATAAAGTACTTTTCTTTTCTGTTCAAAAAATCATAAATATGTCAAAGAAACAGGAATCGTAGAAAACGTGTGCAGCCGCAATAGCACAAGCAGCAGCACATTCTAATCTAAAGAAAAAAAAAGTAAGGTAAAATACTGACAGGAAATTATTACGATGATCTTATAATTTACAGCTAAAAAATCAGCAAATATGATTTGTAATCTCTAAAGATGGGCTTCTCACTATCTGGGATGATATACAATTACTTGACTAAAAATGTTATTTGACGATTTGCTTTGCAAATTCAGTCATAATGTAGCAATAATAGCTTTGCCTTAAACATCGTTTAAGAGCAAGGCTATTTAAGTAATGCATCTGAGTAATCTAAGCTCATTTAATCGAAGGGCACCGAATCGAGTTCTACGCAAATTAGAAATGAAATTACGAGATAAAGGGGAAGCATGTACAAAATTATAACAGTAACACTATGAAACAACAAACAAAGAGTGCATCCATGGTTGTTTTTTAAGATCAGGCAGCAACAGTTCTTTTGGAGATTGACGCTCACCCGTATTACAGACTGCTTCCGCAGGTTTTCCGACCTATCGGAGCTAGAGCTTCAGGAGTAGATGGTGATCACTTCTCGTCCACCTCCACGCACCAATACGACTTTTTCTAGACCTTCGGTGAGCACTTCAATAAATTCCATATCTGTTGCTGCTAAGAAAATCTCACAGAAGTTAGATTTGTTATATACATTCATGAATACTTCAAGTAGCTCGTACAAAAAGCTAATGTAATAGACCAATGATGGCGAACCTATGGCCACACGTGCCACAGTCGGCACGCAAAGCCTTATCAGTCGGCATTGGATTAAAATATTACTTTCTTAATCAATAATCACAATAAAATGATACTACTGTCAAAAGTCTTTAATACGGACTCATCGGGACTTCGGCGATTCCGGATTATCGGTTTTTCCGGATTATAGATCATCAATTTAAATCTGGTAAGATGGCATGCAGAAATTATAAAATTAAAAATATCAAACCATAATTTATGAAATAAAGGCAATTATGATCTAAAGGGTATCAAAATTTACAAAAAAAAAAGCTTAATATTTATTTGTTTACTTTATTAAACATTTCTTTCAACGCGCGCATGCGTAAAGCATACATTACGCATAGTCGAAATTAGAAAATTGCAACCAGAAAACTATTTGATGTGTATTCGTGATATTTATAATGACGAGGAATTTGATTTAAATCATATCAAAGACGGAGTACATCGAGATGAAATACTACATTTAGTAAGGAATTATAAGCCGAATAAAATAAAAACATCTGCCCTGAAGATAAGGATAGTGCTGACAGATCAACTTCCAGTTCAATGCGCGCCGCGACGTTCCCCTCCCCCGCAGAGCAGCGTGAAATTGATAAACAGATTTCGAATGGTTAGAGAAACAAAGGATATACCTTTATCCAATTTTTTGCAGCAATTCCACTTTTTGTTTGATGGACATCGAAACATGCTTTCGCTTTGTAGATATCCTTTGGCAGCTCCAGCATCGGAAATTCTTTTTGACATAATCGAAAGTTAAAGCTTACTTTTATAAAATTGCTCTAACAGTCTGCAAAAAATAATAAGCAGGATCCAATTCGAAGATTAAGGAACAACGCAATCTCCAACATTAACTGAAATAGATAATTAGATCATTTTAGCTTAGCTTATACCGTCCGTTATACATTAAACGCGCATGCGTAAAAGCATATGCAGAAAGTTTGTAGCTTTGAGGTCCGGATTATAGATCATTCCGGGTTATGGACGTCCAGATTAAAGACTTTTGACTGTATGTAATTTTAAAGAAGTGTTTTAGTCTGTTCTTGAACGTTTCACTTACTTACGTATAGCATAATGCCACTGGCATAGAGCCTAAACCTAGATATCAGATTTTCATATATTGCCATAGAAATGATATACATATTTATTGACCCAATTTATGACGTTTCAATTGTTTGGGCGAATCATACTCATTGCTACGTGCAAAGAATATGCCAAAGTTGAAGCAGCTAATGTTTGCTAAACGAATTCAAATTTATTGCAGACTGCCGGTGAGTTTTAATACTTTCATTGTTAAATAGATTCCAGTTTTCAGATTAAAGCCATGGACCTTATAAGAGATAGACTAACCCAGTGGGCGGGGGGCGCGTCACCGACATGTCGGCAAGAAAGAGTAGCGACGATCTAATTTACTTTAACACTGAAAACCTATGGCGTTTGTATCACATAACTCTTTTTAATTATTAAATGTGATACGTTTTATAGTGATGAGATTATGAAAGCCACAGTTTTTTCCAAATAGGATTTAATATATCTCATTAAAGCACTTTTTACTGCATTTCGCGCATTTGTTTCACGCGTAATTATTGTTCAAACATCTTTACTTTGGTAAAACGGTAAAAACTCTAAGGACAAAATTTATTAACTTAATTTTGCGTACAAATACCGTAAAATTAAATAAGATTGATAGTACGTGATGCTTTGAAATAAATAAGGTAAAGTTAAACAAGATCTGATATTTTTTTTAATTTAATGAACATTTTCAGACAACGATTTTCAAAATTATAATAAAATTACAAAATAATCATTTATTTGATTGTATCATCATTAACTTATTAACGTTAAAGTGGAATATTTGTTTTAGTAATTTTTACAAAAATTCGGAGCATAAACTTTTCTGAGTGTAATGAAGGGGGAAAAAAGGTAAAATAAAATATAGAAGCATTCAGATTTTATATTACGCCCAAAAGGAACCTTTTTTTTAACGTTTTGTGTGTTACCTATATTTATTGAATATCATATTCTTCGCCCGTAAACCACATACATTTGAAAACAGCATATTTTCAGAATTCCCGCACTGGAGATAAAACTGTTATTTTCCATAGAGTGTTCGCTCTGAACGCGTTGAGTTTGTTAATCAAAAATTCGTTAAGGTTTTACAAAATATGAAATAGATTAAAACAAATTCGAAATTCGGCCGTCCAGATGGCCAGGTTCGGGTGGAGGATTACATTATTCAAAATTTGATGGCTCTAGTTACTGTCTTTTTTGTCACAATGCGAGAAACATACACGTATCCATGCAGATTCTTTATTATTTAATTTCTTTAAATATAATAGAGGGTTATAATATTCTGTAACAAGAATTTGCAAGGAGACATGAACATTTATAGTAAAACAGCGCAAATGAGGCTTCGAGACTAACAGCCTTTCTAGGCCACCTTCCTTTGGGCTAATAAATTAAATTAATAGTAAATAAAAAAAATATTATGCAGAACTAAAAATAAATTAAAAAATAATCACTATAAAATACAAGCTAAATTAATTATTACGGTTAAATACAATTTTAATATTAGAATTAAATGTATAGAATTTTTTAAGGAGTCAAAATTGTTTATCACTATGATGTATTATGAAATATAATTGAAATAAAATTCCTTTATAGAAATTGTGCTATCATACTCATCTATAATTTTAAAAAAGCAGCACAACTTAGAATCTTAAACTAAACTTTCAAAAATTCGTTTTTATATATTTTAGTACTTTTTACTTATTTGCACCAATAAAAAGCATAAAAAATGCAAGAGAAAATTGCTTGTTTGAAATTTTCTATTAGTTCAGATTAAAAATATTATTTTCTAAAAGAAGTAGTTACAAATTTCCTTACAGCATAGGAAAAGCTAAACAAATATCCAGCTCTGAAAGAATGCAATAGCTTTATAATTATCTGGGACGTTAATTATACTTGATAAATATGCTAAATTTTTAAAAATCAATCTCAATTTCAAAAATAAAAATATGTAGAAATTCTAATTTGTGAAATGAGGCGCTACAATCAGTTTTTTCTTGACAATTATACACGCTGCAATAGGCAACCACTGTTAAATTTCTGCAAGTCGTCCCTACTCCTCCGGATGTGATCAAGGTGACAGGCGGGAACGCCTCAGACGAGGAAGAAAACCCATTTGGGTTAGTCTGTTTCTTATAAGATCCACGATCTAAGCATTTTGAGGTAATTTATGAATAATTCTAATTTAATATCTTAAACAAAATGGCACACGGCTGTTCCATTTTGAGCATGCGGCCCCAAAAAGGTTTGCCACCACTGCAATAGATAGTTATTTGAAGTCAAACTTAAATTGTACCATTCGATGTTAATTACTGGATGTTTATAAACTATAAATACAAATCAATAAATAAGTACCCACAATAATGAAATGGAATGCAAATATTCATTTTAACAGTAAGTTTCCTGGCTATTTAGTCACTTGCAGAAGGTGTTTTCCCAATTTTAGAACAATTTTGGGGTAGTTTAATTAATGTTTAAAATGTAAAGGAAAAATTTATAAAGCATATAGCTGATAGACTTTTTACTGCACTGTACATTTGCATCATGATTTTCATGGCAGGAAGCCTTTCCATAAAATTTGTAGGGATTCTACAACTTCACTTCTTTTCTTCTACAACTTTCACAACTTCGCAGAATACAATAAACAAGTTTGTAAACATAGTTTTTCATTTATTTTATTTTATTTTTTGTGAAAAGTATAGAGTTGGTGTCAATAGAGTATTTTTAGAGCGCTAAAAACAAAGTCTCGTACCTGCGATCAGATAACCTCCGGCATGGCCTTCGGACACAAATGACGAGTGGTAGAAGACAAGGCCGCATGGTGGATAAAGAGGTAAATGGGCATTTATTTCTTGCCCACTTCTTATCTAGAGGAATCAACTCTTTGGAGCTGCTTTTAGAGTTAACTGCAAACTACACCGACAAAAGGCCATCGAACACAGATGAACTGAATCGCAAGCTGGCCTTTGATCACGGAATGAGTCTTAACTACATCCACCTTTGCACCCCTAAAGTTAAATACATTGCCGATGCCAGTGCAGTGTTTTTTATATATATTGTTAGCACTGATAAGTGCAATAATAATCATATATTTATTTTATCCTAATTTCACTTATAAAAAAATTTTAATATGAATTTTTGTCATAATGTAACAACAGCACATAAATGATAGCTAAGAACACAAAAATGACTGGAGAGGAGTACATGTGAAAAGAGTATAAGAAAAAAAGAAATTGAAACAAAACTAAAACGAAAGGATACAATTTTCTTCTCCCATTTTCATCTTCGGTGGCCCAGGTAAGTTGATAAAAACCAATTGAGCATCTACAGATTTGCTTTTTATAACCTCGTTTAATTTCACGGCAGTGTGCATACGTCGAACGTTGCCTTCATCACTGTAAAAAACATACAATAAAATTTTTAGCAACTCAAAATCATGATCAATATATTTTTTAATGGTTAGAGAAATTTTTTTTGATCCTTCTTCCCTCTTTATGTATGGTCTGATCCCTTTATGTTACTGGAACTGTATTCATAAATGTAACTGTACATGCCTTCCAGCACTTCTGAGAAATCGAGGCACTGGAAATTTCTCGATGGACAGGAGAAAACTTCATAAGATATTTGCTACTTTGGAAGATGGGCATTGGTGACCTTGTGGTTATTAAAGAGACTCTGTCAAGACTTTTAAATAAATTTTAAATAAATGCAAGGATTAAGACCCAATAACACGCCGAACAAGTACTAATTCAGAAGTCAAACAACAAAAATCAGCGTTACATTTTCAAATTTTCACAGGACTAGTTTCGATGGTTTTACCGAACCACCATCCTCAGCTGCAGAAACGCAAATGCCACTTGCGTTGGCACACTGACTGAATAGAGCTTCGAAAAGAGTGCTGAAACGAGCATTGTCGCCAATGAACTGACCAGTGAGATGCTGAGAAACAAAGAATACAGACTCTCAGTTGTTCTAGATCAGCGGTCGGGGAACCGGGGTAAATTACCCCAAATGGGGTAAAAATGAAATTTTTGGGGGTAAAAATGAAACTTTTGTGAGTAAAAAGTATATATTTTTAATTTGCTATTTTATAAATTAATCATCGATATATCAATCAAGGTAAGCCGCAATTTGAAAATTTATTTCAAGTATATTACTACTATTATTTTCTGTCTTTTTTCAGATGGCAGGAAACAGAAAAAGAACATACCAAGACGAATTCCTTAATTATGGTTTTACACAAATAGATGACAATGGTACAATGAAACCACAGTGTGTTGTATGTATGAAGGAAGGTACTGACTTCAGAATCTTTCAAAAAAAAGTTAAGTGAAGAAACATTTAGATAATTTGCATTCACACCTGTCTTCTAAACCGCGAGAATACTTTGCAAATTTAGAAATATCTGTTAAAAGACAAAGATTGAATAGCAACTTGTTTGGTACATTTGATCAGCGTTCAGCATCAAGGGCTAGCTTTGAAGTAGCCTGGTTAATTGCTCGAAATAAGAAACCATACACTATTGGTGAAGATTTGGTTAAACCAGCTGCTGTAAAAATGGCAGAGATTATGTGTGGTCAACAAGAAGCGAAGAAACTGAATTCAGTGCCCTTGTCCGCAAGAATTGTGAAAGAACAAATTTCTATATTAGCAGAAAATGTGAAGGAACAGGTTATTTTCGATTTAAAACAGGCTAAATATTTTGCTATTCAGCTTGATGAGACAACTGATTTTAGTAGCAATTCACAGCTAATGGTATATGTTCGCTACAAAGGTGCAGATAATTTGAAAGGAATCTGTTTTGTTCTCCCTTGAATTGAGATCTCGTGGAATTGATGTCTACAATAAAGTAAATGAATACTCAACGCGCAAAGTTTAAAATGGGAAAACTGTATTTCTGTATCTTTGGATGGAGCTCCAGCTATGCTGGGTCATATTAATGGTTTATAGGATTTCGTAAAAAAAAATAACCCAAATATTGATCATACTCACTGTATGATCATACTCATACTCATACTCATAGATCCATCGCCAGGCCCTTATGGTCAAATATTTAGAACTGTTAGCATAAATTTAGGTATTTTGCATAATGAAACTCGAAAGGCATACGAAACGAACGTGCGCCAAGGTATATATTGCGAGAGAAAGTAAAGCTCGTGTGAATGCGAATATTTGATTTCACCCTAGCTACTTGTATCTGACCAAAGGTCTTATCCAGTTAGTACTTTCTTCTCTTTCAGGTACGATGGCAAAGTATATTCCGTTTATTTTTTTTATTGCCTATATAGGTAAGCCTGATGATATTTAGTACTATGATGATTCTCTGTAAGTTATTCTTTTGAATACTTCAATTTTAATGTATGTGAAGATTTTACTTTATTGTTATGCAGAATTATCCTATTATTAAAATAAAGTTTCGTTTAGCTCGTGTGCAATGCAGAATATTTGATTTTCACCCTAGCACTTGTATCTGACCAAAGGTCTTATCAGTAGTACTTTCTTCTCTTTCAGGTACGATGCAAAGTTATTCCTGTTTATTTTCTTATGCCTTATATAGGTAAGCCTGATGATTTAGTACTGATGATGATTCTCTGTAAGTTATTTTGAATACTTCAATTTAAGTCTGTGAAGATTATTACTTTATGTTATGCAGAATTATCCTATTTTATTAAATAAAGATTTCGTAGTTAATCTTTTGACTTATGATTCTTTAATTCTGTGCTTGAGGAAACGTACTCATTACGCCTTCTGTGCTAATGCACAACCAACAAGAGATGAGACTGAGAAATTGGAAAATTTTGTAATGTTGTAAGATTCCAGGGGCATAAAGTGTTTAAAACTCTTTGTTGAAAATACTAGTTACAAAGTTTATAAGAATAATTGTAACAAGTAAATAATGTCTATTCTAAAAGAATCAATTTGTATAGAAAAGTTAACAGATGAAAATTTTGCAGTGTGGAAATTTAAAATAGAACAACTTAGAATAAAAGAAGGTTTAGATGATGATGTATTCGAAGAAAAACCGGAAACTGTTACTGAATATTTCGTTAAAGAATGATCATAAAGCTAAAGCTTAAATATGCCTAAACATTTCGGATTCGCAAATTATCCATGTTTTGTATAGTAAATCTGAAAAAGAAGTTTGGCAGAAAGTTAAAATGTGTCCATGAACTTGTAAATTTAAACAAACAAGTTATTTCTTCTTAGAAAACTATATTCCATTAGATATAATGAAAGTTCTAAAATGCAGGAACATATCAAAGGAGTACTAGAATTGGCTGAAAAGCTGCGTAGTATAGGTGAAGAAATTAAAGAAAATAACTTAACAGCAATATTACTATGTTCTTACCAAATTCATAACAACTCCTTAATAACTGCATAGAAAGTAAATCGGAAGCTGAATTGTCGCTAGAATATGTTAAAAACAAACTAATAGATGAGTATTGTAGACGTGTGGAAACTAAGAAAGTTCAAAAGTACGATTCAGTTGCTTTAAAAGTAAAAGCGAAAATATAACCAAAGTATGTTACACAATTTGTACTTATTGTAAGAGAAATAACCATACGATAAAGGACTGTTTTCATTTAAAAAACGCAACACTAGAACTTCCCCGAAAACAGATGTAAATAATATTAAAGTAAGAATTATTCTCAAAAATTATAAAAGTAATGCATGCATGCCAAATAGCAAATACGCAAAGTGTAGAAAACATAACAAAAAAGAAAATAAGTATTTTAAAAGTATTGAAACTGAAAATACACAGATTCAGTTTAATCAAGTTCTAAAAGTGGAAAATAAACATGAAAACACGCAAACGCAAGAATGGGTTATCGACTCAGGAGCCTCAACTCATATGACTAGTGATAAGAATTTCTTCTCTCAGTTAAATGACTCTAATAAACAAATAGTAACTGTAGCCAATGGTGTTAAATTAAATTCTTATGGTATTGGTGAAGGTTATTTTAAAGTTCAAAACGTAAAGGGTCAGGTTACACAATAAAATTGGAAATGTATGTAGTACCAGGTTTAGATAGTAATTTACTTTCTGTTCAATCTGTTACCAATAAAGGTTGCATTGTTACATTTGATAGTAATAAGTGTTACATAAAGCGTAACAATATACTCGTAGCCGACGGCAACGCTCAGCAAGGTTATATAAATTGATCGTAAAAACCCACTTTGAAGTCAAACAGCAAACCGGGAGAGAAAAGATATTTCGTAACTTTCATTGATGACTATTCGCGTTATACTCAAATTTATTTTTACTTCAAAGATGAAGTATTCGAGAAACTTAAACAGTATGTTGCATCGACAAACAATAAATTTAGAAAGAAAAATAAAGGTTCTCAGATCCGACAACGGTACAGAATACTGTAACGAAGTACTGAAAATTATTTAAAAAAACAAAAAAAACTCGGCATTTTCACCAAACTTCGGTTCCTTATTGTCCGGCACAGAACGGTTGTCGCAGAAAGGAAAAAACGCTCTTTATTGAAATGACAAAAGCTATGCTAATAAACTCTAAATTACGAAAGGATTCTGGGCTGAAGCAGCAGCTACTGCTGCATATCTTCAAAATAGGTTACCAACTAAAGCCACAGATAGAACACCATATGAATTGTGGAATGGTAGAAAACCAAACTTAAGTCACTTACGAGTATTTGGCTGTACAGCATTTTATTATGTGAACAAACAAAAACGCGTAAATTCGACAACAGAGCGAAGAAGGAATATTCGTAGGATACGATTTACGAAGTAAGGGATCAGGATTTATGTAGGTGGAGAAAAATAATAGTAAGTAGAACTGTTTAAATTTTCAGAAAACGCGTCTTTACCTGACAAACTGCAGAAAATAATGCTGAAGATTAGAATTAATTCACTTCAATAACTCGCAAGTGATGAAGAAAATAATGAGAAAACATCTCTGGCGATGATTTTACAGAAGATTCAAAAAGTCCGAGAGTTAATTAAATGTGAAGAAAATGTAGAAAGAAGGGTTTCTAGCAGATCAACCAAAGGGGTCCCACCGGAAAGATTCTCTTATAAGCAGAAGACGAAGAATCAATCTTACTTAAAATTAAAGATCCAGAAAGCTTTGAAGAAATTCTAAACTTACCAAAACGTGAACAAGAAGCTTGGATCAAGGCTATGCAAGAAGAAATACATTCTTAAAGAAAATGAAACCTATAAAACTTACAGAATTACCACCAGGAAAACATGCAGTAGGCAGCAAATGGTGTTTAAGACAAAATATGATGAAACTGGTAAAAATATAAATACAAACACGCTTAGTAGCCAAAGGATTTACTCAAAAATACGGCAGTGATTATGATGAAACTTTTCACCAGTAGTGAAACACACTACGATAAGAGTTTTCTTAGCATGGGCAGCGCATAATAATGCCAAGGTACTCAACTAGATGTTAAAACAGCTTTTTTGTACGGCAAATTAAATGAAGAATATATATGGAACAACCAGAAGGATTCGTGGTTCCGGAAGAAAGACATAAAGTTTGTAAATTACAGAAGTCGATTTATGGTCTCAAACAAGCAGCTAGGTGCTGGAATGCAGAAATTGAAAACACTGAAGAATTGGGGTTCAGTCAAAGCAAAGCAGATCCGTGTCTTTTCACAAAAAGTGGTTCGTGATAAAAATTAATTTAATAGTGTATGTTGAGACATCCTAATAGTTCTACAGAAGGACTATTCTTAAACAATTATGATTTAAAGAAACGTTACCAAATAACGCATCTTGGTGAAGCTAAATATCTTAGGCATGGAAATAAATCGCAAGGAAGATGGAAGTTATCTCTTATCACAGAAAAATATAAATAAATCAACTTGTCAAGCAATTTCAACTTGAAGAAGCGAAACACGCTAGCATACCAATGGAAACATGGAAACGAACTATTATAACCTAAACAAGGAAGAAAATCTCCTAACTTCAAATGATAAATTTCGCCAAGCTATTGGAAGTCTTTTGTATATATCGTCTATCACAAGACCAGATATCACAGCTTCAACTCACATACTCAGCAGAAGGTGTAATAATCCACGTCAAAAGGACTGGAATGCTGTCAAAAGAATCATTAGATACTTAAACACGACAAAGAAGCTATCCTTACAAATTTCGTCGAGTGAAGAACCTAATATTACAGTTTATTCAGATGCTGATTGGGGACAAGATATTGAAGATAGAAATCTACATCAGGAAGTGTTATTTATTAGGAAGGAACTGTATTTCATGGTTTTCAAGAAAACAAACTTGTGTTCTTTTTTTATCCTCAGCAGAAGCTGAATATGTTGCACTATCGCAAGCTACGCAAGAAATTATGGCTATTTAAAATTAACAGAAGATTTCAATCTACCCCAAACTCTACCGATAAGGTATTTGAAGATAATCAGTCTACTATAAGACTTGTAGAATCTGAAAAATTCAGTTCCCGCACAAACAGATTGATACAAAAGTTCATCATATACGCGACTTGATAACAAAGGAATAGTAAAAACTTGCTTATCTTCAACAGAGCAAATGTTGCTGATATTATGACTAAACCATTCCTAAAGCTAAATTTCAGTTTTGCAGGAATGAATTACAATTGGTATGAGTTTCATTAGCAAAAAACAGGGGCATGTTAGCATAAATTTAGGTATTTTGCATAATGAAACTCGAAAGGCATACGAAACGAACGTGCGCCAAGGTATATATTGGCGAGAGAAAGTAAAGTTCGTGTGCAATGCAGTATATTTGATTTCACCCTAGCTACTTGTACCTGGCCAAAGGTCTAATCCAGTAGATTTTCTTCGCTTTCAGGTACGATGGCAAAGTATGTTCCTGTTTTATTATTTAATATAGGTAAGCCTGATGATATTTAGTACTGATGATGATTCTATGTAAGTTATTCTTTGAATACTTCAATTTTAATGTCGTGAAGATTATTACTTTTGTTATGCTTAAGTTAAGCAAATTATCTATTTTATTTAAATAAGATTTCGTAGTTAATCTTTGACTTATGATTCTTTAATCTGTGCTGAGGAAACGTACTCAAGCTTCAGTGCATGCACAACCAACAAGAACTACACTGGAAGCCGTCATGCATGATGTCATCAAGATTGTAAATTTTATCAGGGACATGCACTAAACACGCGGCTATTTCGTGAATTATGTCAGGACGGTGAAGCTGAATATACGGACCTACTTTATTATACAGAAGTAAGGTGGCTCTCTCGCGGAAATGTACTAAATCGAGTATGGGACTCTCAAAACTGAAGTCGAAATTTTTATGGTTGATCAAAAAAAATATTCTCGCAGATAAGTTTAAAAACTCTTCCTGGGTTGCATATCTCGCATATTTAGCGGACATTTTTGAGAGTATAATATATTAAACAAAGAATTGCAAGGAAAGAATATTAATATCATTTCAGCGAGAGAAATAGTGTCAGCGTTTGGATTAAAGCTGCAATATTGGAGACAGAAAGTAGAACAGAACAAGATATCTTTTTCAAGGTTAGCTTTGTTTTTGGAAGATTGCGAAAATATTACTTTTGCTGACATCAAGGATACAATTGTAAGACATCTTATCAAACTCAGAAAGCGGTTTTCAGATTACTTTCCAGATCTTGATACACGTACTGTCAGTTGGATTGTAGATCCTTTTAAATGTGAAATTGCTATGATACCAGAAGAACCTTCAGGTTTGGCAGAAGCAATTCTTGAACTTCGATCTAATACTGAAGCACGTATTCAATTTGAGAGTAAACCAAATCTGTCGTCTTTTTGGATGTCAAAAGCTGCAAAGGCTTTCAAAATTGCACATGAAGAGGCGGTTAAAAAATTGCTGCCATTTGGAACAACATATTTGTGCGAACAAGGCTTTTCCACTCTAATGAACATAAAAACGAAGAACAGAAATCGATTAAACGCCGAAGACTGTATTCAAATCGCTCTTACATCAAAAAGTCCCAATTTTGAAGCAATTGTATCGAACATGAAACATCATTTCTGCAAAACGTGAAGGAAGAATGTTTTCAATTTTTTTTTTTTTCTAATTTTTTTCAATTCTAATTTTTGTTTGTACCACCATTATTATTATTATTATTATATTATTATGTTACAGTACAATACCAAATTGTCAACCCTCAATTGTACCCCAATGGGTTTCAATTTGTTATATATATTACTTATATTACTATTATTACCGTATGTATTACTAGGTATTACATTGATAAATTGAATAAATGATGTTTAAATTAAATTTTTAGTTATTGTTTTCTTTTCAAAATTATCATGGGGGCTATAATATGAAAGATGCTAAAAAGAGGCGATTTCGTTTTTTTTTCTTCTCCCATGGGGTAATCAACTTACACAAATACTTTGGGGTAATGATTAAAAAGTTCC